CATCAGGTTTCGAGTCGTCGTCAGCTACTGATGTTGGAGAACAGCATTCAGTAATAGTGATGGTTCTCTGATGCAGAGGACGGAGCCGAAGAAAGCCAGACAAGGTGATAGGATCTCATGCAAATTGACAAGATGGACAACAGGTAGGTGTACGAAAAACCCACGCCTCCAACGCTCCGTGATGGACCTCACCGCGGATGAGTGTGCAGTCACTCAACTGCCTCACGTCCTCTTCCTGGTCTTTGTTCCCTGCAAATCGAATACGTGGTAGATGAAGCGCCCTGCAGTTCGAGGAACGTGTGGAGATCGGCACTGGTGGAGACTGTTCTGGCGTTGTAAGTACAAAGCATAAGACAATCTCTATGGCCAGTCCTTTTGGTCAATCCCTTAGAGTCCTGTACAACCTGACACTGGCCTTGATGACACCTCCGGAGACGTGATTCAGTGTGTACAGCTTTTTCCTTTTACAAGCTGTACAAGCAATAAAATCCCTCAGCCCGCCACGCTCTCACTGCAGGCTATCGCTGACCTAAACGGACCAGGGAACCACCTAGGGCTGAGTCAGCCAGGCAGTGGCGAGTCTGGGATGGCCTACTCTTAGCTGGGCATCCGAAAAGCCGAAAACGTCGAACTCCTTCTTAGCTTGGGAGACCCCGTTGGAAAATAAACCTTCGCTGTACTTCGCAGTTCGACACTCAGAAGTACCCCCGAGGCCACGATGAGCCGGTAGACTATCACGAGGGTAGATTACCAGGCATGATGAGATAAATACAGCAAATAGACGATGTATTTGCCCTTCCCACCAAATGAGCGAATTGTCTTTTTTAAGAGAGGGAAGGAAGGGAGAAGATGCAGTGGCCCCTCAAAGTAAGAGGCATACTACTAGTTGCCTAGAATACAAATTCCATGTCCGCCCTAGACATAAGCTAAACGATTTTTTAAAGGGAAGTATATGCATTCCGCGAGAAATATCGTAATTGCCGTCAACAACTATAAATTACAAATCACATCAAGGCGAAGCAAAAGCGCATTTTTGATGGTAGAGCTCTGCGGGCAATAATTGCCATTTTATTCTTATTCTTATTTGAAGCAAAGTAATCGATAAGTAAATGGCACATAGTAGAGTCAGCTATTTCATGGAGGAGTGTTACGACTTTGTTCAGAAATAGTTTAGCAGATAAGAATGGCAAATTTGAAGTTAGTGCCTTGAGGCTCGTCTAATGGATGCCCCTTTTGTGGAAAGGTACGGTACACGTGTGCCCGATTACGAGCCAGCTGCCGCTCCAGAGTCCCTGAAGATATTGCCTCTATAAAGTCGTGTAGACTCGCCTGATTTGTGCAACAGCATATGCTCATTTCATCTCATCCGAATTATTAACTGAATGGAATATTAGCAATGTAATTTGAAGAAAAGAAATATCCCAACCATAAATCAAACCTATATTCGTCGCTTACATCCGCTTGCTCTATTAGCGGGTGAAGACTGCAGCGAATGTATGCAAGTACAAATTGTCTACTGGCATCCACTACCCTTTTCTTGGGTTCATAGGAGTTAGGTAATCAGGTTGGATTTGGTGTCAAACTTGTGGCAATACATAGCTCATAAAGTCGAAAGCAGTATCGCTACGATCTTGAGTCCGTAAAAGCTACGAATTCAAACTGCGCTTGTTCGCAGTTACGTCAATTCTCCACTAACCTCTCTTCAACCATGCAAACTTCTCCTCTCCATTGCCTATTTGGTACCAGATAGGAAGGTCCCATTTGAATCTGTAGTGAATCTAAATCGTAATCGCTTCGCTGAACTTCAAAACATACCCATATTTCGGATTTCGGTATTCTTTTGGGTCTTTTGCTTTGGGAGTTTTTAGATATCGTTTTTGCGTAAGTCTTACTTGCGTAGCATCAACCCTATCCACCGTCACCATGGGAAATGACATCTGAATTAAGAGGAATTTGTATGGATATAAGAGAATGCCAATATACAGTACCTGTGAGGTCCACTGATCAGCGTAGTCGGAAACTTTCATGTTTCCGTCTGGACCTTTTATTCCTCCAACTACTTCATCTAAAGCTTCCCAAAGGTCAGCCGCTTCAGCGTTGCTGTATGCGAATTTTTTGATGTAATGCTGGGAATTACGTTTTAATCAGATGTTGTGGAAAATAATGCAGTTGGTTTAAGAGTACTATGACTTACAGCAACAGCTTCAAAAGTCTTGTTTTCACCAATGATAAGTGCCATCATTTTTAGAATAGATGCTCCTTTATCATACGAGATTGAATCAAACGCCTCATAAACTTCACTGGCCTTCTCAATTTTGAATGATAGTGGATGACTTGCAGAGATAGAATCTC